CTCGAACCCACGAACGGTGAGATCATGACCTGAGCTGAAATCAACGTTTTAACCGACTGAGCCACCCAGGCGCCCCAATGGTAACTATTTGAAAGAAAAAACTTGCAACTGTTCAGGTTGAAAGTGCTGAAAGTTTTCATTTGTTTGCATTTCATATTTGGTGTGGGATCTTGTAGAGGATAGGAACGTATACACGGGCATGCAGCAAATAAGCCTCTGGGGCAGCACCTGGGTGCAGGTTTAGAGTCACGTGTCCAAATGCTCTGAATGTGTGTGTGCATGTGCGTTCCTGTGTGCACACGCGTGTGAGCACGCCTGGCCGGGACTTATTTCCCAATCAAGAGGTAGAGTCAGGAATGTCCCAATATCGGAAGCCTTTCTGTTCAATCAGCTCCTCCGAGCTGCCTGAAGCAATTTTGTGTTAAAAGGTGGCCACTGTGCCCGTCTACATTCCATGACACTGCCTCTTTTGTAATATTTTTAGAACACTGTCTTTCTTTTTTTCCCACACAGCATGCTTTAATGTTACCTTATTTCTTTTTAATTTTTCAATGTTTATTTTGGAGACAGAGAAGAGAGACAGACAGCATGAGCAGGGGAGGGGCAGAGAGAGAGGGAGACACAGAATCTAAAGCAGGCTCCAGGCTCTGAGCTGTCAGCACAGAGCCCAACGCTGGGCTGGAACTCACGAACTGTGAGATCATGACCTGAGATCATGACCTGAGCCAGAGTTAGACGCTTAATGGACTAAGCCACGCAGGCGCCCCTAACGTTACCTTATTGACAGATGGATCATGTCGAAAGCACTGACATGCTTCGGGGTAACTAATCTCTTCTGCATGCCGTTGCCATTTACAGTTGATTTTTCTTTATCATCGATTTATATGCAATGCAGAGCTTCATTTTCTTCCCCAGCTTTATTGAGATATAATTGATGTATAACACAACGTAAGTTTAAGGTGTATGATGTAATGACTTGCTATTGCAAAATGACTACTTAGGATCTATTTTTGTAAATCGCCATCAGTTGTTTAATGTAGGAGGTAGGGCCCAAAACAACTTTTCCTATACAGCCATGAAGAATTTGGAGATCCGCTGTTCTCTTTCTTTCTTTCTTTCTTTCTTTCTTTCTTTCTTTCTATCTGGAAAATTACATTTTAATACCATAGAGAATTTTTTTTTTAATGTTTATTTTTGAGAGAGAGACAGAGACGGAGTGTGAGCGGGGGAAGGGCAGAGATAGAGGAAGACACAGAATCCGAAGCAGGTTCCAGGCTCCATGCTGTCAGCACAGAGCCTGACGTGGGGCTCGAACTCACGGACTGTGGGATCATGACCTGAGCCGAAGTCGGACACTTAACCGACTGAGCCATTCAGGTGCTCCAATAGAGAATTTGAAAGATGAATATAAACTTGTCCATAATCATTTCACCAGTCATCAACATGACTGACCTGTTGATGCTGTCCAAGGATGCATTTCTTTTTCCTTTTCTTTTTCTTTTCTTTTCGTTTGAGTAGCGTTGACACACAGTGTTACATTAGTACCAGAAGGTCCTAACCCAGGGGAACAGGGTCTGTTCTTGGTAGCGGATACAAGGGTAGCTAACAATTGCTTATCATTTCCTTTTCAGACAATGAAGACCCTTCAGGTAAGAGGATTTTCACTCTACACGACCTCTTTTCAAACGTGAGACAGAAAGGTATTGAGGACAATCATATTAATAATCAGAACTACTAGACGAAAAACGACAATGGTCTACCGGTAGGATCTATGAGGGATGGGCCTGCGTTTGTTGCTAACTGTCACGGATCCCTGAGCATACATTCTGGGAAGTGTGGATAGAAGCCACTGGGAGTTTCTGTATAAATCACAAATTCATTTTTTTATATTTTTTTAATGTTTATTTCTTTTTTAAACGTGGTAATTTATTTTATGTGTTGTTTAAATCCATTGCTTAAAAATGTTCAAAAGGCATTTTAATTTTTTTTTTAATGTTTATTAATTTTTGAGAGAGAGAGGGGGAGAGAGTGAACAGGGGAAAAGCAGAGAGAGAGGGAGACAGAATCCAAAGCAGGCTCCAGGCTC